CAATCGGGTCAGCGCAAGGGGGGGGGAGCATGTGCCTAGCTCATCAGCCATGTATTGCCTGGCGGAGCTTCCTGACCTGTGGGAAGTCCCATTGCCATGAGCATTCTCAGCTACACATGCTGGAATAGGAGAGCAGTGGTGTGGCCCATGCCAGACACCGTATGTGTGTTGTGGCGGGAGAGGATGTCAGAAGAATGAGGATTGGTGTCCACCAGTGCCGTAGAGCAGTGCTCCCCAACCTTTTTATCGCCTCTCGACGTCTCTCAGCTCCCGGTTAACCTCTCGTCCTGGACAGTCGGACAAACCCGAGAGAAATACACCACAGTAAATAAAATGGAAATAATTTAATGTTCCTTGGGCGGCCCGGTACCATTTGATCCACGGACCGGTACCGGTCCGCGGCCCGGGTGTTGGAGACCACTGCCATAGAGCATACAGACAGGCTGGTGGGGGATGTACTGTGGTATGTGCAGAGTGTGCATCTGTACCCTGTGCCCCTTCATTTCAAATGCTTTGTAGGTATTGAGAAGGATTTTGTGACCTATGCACAGAATAGGATAATATAGGCAGGACTGCAGATAGGGAGGTACAGGCAGTACTCCCATCGGGTCAGCAAGAGAAGCCTTGTCAGGCAGGCTGAACAGGGCCCCATCATTTCTAATGGTGGCCCTGAGTATAGGATCAGAAGTGTGAGGTGAGGTATATGAACAGAGACGGACTAGACTGGGATAGTATGGAACCTCGTGCACTGTCACCGGGTAGTGGCAGATTGCAGAATCTGGTGGGTGTTGTGATCCAGTCCATTGTTATTGTCCTTCTTCTTTCCCCGAATGTGGACAATTTCCATCTCTCTCCGCTCTAGACTGGTGCCTGGGGCTGTTTTGACGAATTTAACCGCATCAACATTGAAGTTCTGTCTGTGGTGGCCCAGCAAATCCTTTCCATCCTGTCTGCTCTGTCCGCCAACCTGACCCGGTTCATCTTTGAGGGCAGAGACATCAGTTTGGTATGGTCCTGTGGCATCTTCATCACCATGAATCCAGGTGAGATCCCTCTCTCTAGGTTACATAGTTACATAGTATTTGAGGTTGAATAAAGACATTAGTCCATCAAGTCCAACCTATTAGGATCTCATTCTTTGGAGTACCTGTACCCCTGTATATTACCTGTACCCCTGGATATTACCTGTACCCCTGTATATTACCTGTACCCCTGGATATTACCTGTACCCCTGTATATTACGGTCCCTTAAGAAATCGTCCAAAAGTTTCTTGAACAGTTCCACATTATTTGCTGAAATCACCGCCTGTGGCAGTGAGTTCCAGACCCTAACTGATCTTACTGTGAAGAACCCCCTGCGCCCCTTGTGCTGGAATTTTTTTCCCACCAATTTTAGGTGGTGGCCTCTAGTTTTTGTAATGGAGTTAATTTTAAACAGTTTATCGCTAATGTTGCTACCACCATTGAACATGTAGGTACTTGCACATTTAATGATGTATGAATCGATACGGAGCTGCATTAGTTTGTGTCTTTTATTTCTGCCTGGAGTGCAGTTGCTGTACATGTGATAGATATTTTGGCACATTTTTGGGCCTGAAAACCTTCTTAAATTGAGTGTTTATAATATATAATATAAAGTACCATGTCATATGATGACACCTCTGCCATGTCTTTATCTGTTTGTATGCTCTATTGACTCCCCTGGAATCCATCATGTTGTGCTCCTCTATCACTGACCCTCTCTTCTGTCCACAGGTTATGCAGGCCGTACCGAGCTCCCAGATAACCTCAAGTCCATGTTCAGGCCCATCTCTATGGTGGTACCGGACTCCACACTGATCGCAGAGATTATTCTATTCGGAGAAGGCTTTAGTAACTGCAAGGTACCATCTGTGTGTTGTGCGTTGGAGCAAACTGCCGTCACATCTCTGTCGTACTCTCCCTGAGTCACTCTCCCATGTTGTCTTATAGCTCCTGGCTAAGAAGGTCTACACCTTATATTCCCTGGCCATTCAGCAACTTTCCAAGCAGGACCACTACGACTTCGGCCTACGAGCTCTGACCTCTCTGCTGCGATACGCCGGGCGTAAACGCAGACTCCACCCAGATCTGTCCGACGAGGAGGTGAGAGGGGAGCAAATGTGTTCTGGTATCTAAAGCTGCCCTATAACTAGATAATTAAAGCTAAACCCCGAGCCAAACAAAACGAGTAAAAAAAATGTGATTTATTGAAGGAGACCACTATTACCGCCTTTCATATTTGCAGCTATTTGATCTATTCAGTGGCTGATTCATATTGAAGCAGAACGCCACCTAAAAAATATTAAAAATAAAAATTAACAGTCCAACGAAATTAAAAATAATTTCGCCTTCATTTTGGAGCTGTCCGCAGCAGTTACTTTTCTCTGCCACTAGATGGCTTCAGTCTTATAGGTTGAATGACGGCCATTGTCTTTCAGTCCGCTTTCTCTGAGTCCAAGCTGTCATGGGCCCCTTAGTCCAGCAGGAAGGACTGTCCACTGCCAGAGGAGAAGGGGAGACCTCTGACATCATTTCAATGGCCATATAAAAAAGAAATAAATACATATATATATA